GGCGCGCGGGGAGGCGAGGACGCTGCGGGCGCCAAGGCCACCGCGGTCCCCAGCGTGGCCCAGGGCAGCGTGGTGGCACCGTGGGGCTCTGGCTGGGGGCTCGGCGCTGCTGCGGGGGCTCTGCCAGCTCCTGGCTCGCTGCTTTCCGAGCTGGGAGCGGGAATTGCACCGGGATCGGCCTCCTCGCTGGCCTTGCCCGTGGCCTGCTCCAGCCTCGGCGCGGCGGGAAGAGGCCCTGGAGGCTCCTCGGCCAGCAGCATGGTGTCCATGCTCGCAGCCTCCCCGGCTGCCGCGCTCTCTGTCCAGGCCTCGGTGGCGTCGTTACCGTCACTGACGAGGACAAAACCCTTCTCAGGGGAGTCTTCGTGGCCTTTCCAAGCAGTGCCCGCCCAGGGGTGCTCTTCGCTGCCGGCCTCGTCAGGAACCTCTGTACTTCTGTGATCCGCTGCTGTGCTCCCAAGCTCATCCCTACGTTTGAGTCCGTCCCAGGCATCGTCCCCGCCAGCGCTGCTCCTGCCCGCAGGCACCGGCGGGGTGGGAATGGCCAGAGAAGGGGACGCGGTGGGGAGGCCGCTGGCCGGCGAGTCCTGCTTGGAAGCGGGACCCGTGAGCACGGCCCTGGGGGCGGTAGCAGGGGGCAGGGTATCAGGGCTCGTTACAGACTGGGGCGAGCAGCCCCCCCGGCCCCGTCTGCTCTTCGCCGTGCACTGCAGCGGGAGCAGTTGCTTCAGGGCCTGCTGCATTTTCTTCCTCTGCTCGTGGCGGCTTTACGGTGTGCAGATCATCGGCCGTCACCTCCCCAGCATCCTCCACGTTATTGGTGCTCAGCTCTGGCTTTGGTCCCTCACTTTCCGTGTCTTTTTCAATTAATGGATCGTAAGAGAGATCCTCGTGGAAATTGATAAAATTATAATCGTAATAAAAGTCGTCGACAAAGAAATTTCCCTTCCTGGATGAAAAGTCCTCCTCAGTTATGATATTGACATCATTGGACTCTGGAATATTTGGAATAAAGGGGTTAAATTTAGCAATATGGTTATTGGGAATGTAATGTATTTCATTAAATATTTCTCTGCTGGAAGACCCGCTGCCAGACCAGTCAGTGTTGGGGTTTTCCAGTTTCTTCTGGCACTGCTGCAAAGAGCAAGTAGCTTCCGAGGTTGGTCTTTGGGCAGGATCACAAGCTGCTCCCGTATTGTTGCTGCAGAAAACAGGGCGCCTTTGTGTTCCGTTTCCGCATGTCACTGAACACTAGAAAAGGAAGAGAAATGAGAATTTAAGGGATGAGAGCAGGGCAGATTTAGGACAGTAAACGACATGGATTCTAGGAGCGTGGCGGGAGAAGGAGCCACGCTCAGGATATTGGGAATGGCACCTCGTGCAGCTCTGCAGCTCTCCCACCAGCCGCCTGGTTCCTGAATGCTCTGCTCCCTGATTCTGCAAGTCACATCTGAGGTATCTGATAATCTACAACTTGCTGAATGGGTCTAGCTCTGTGCTCTTTCCCGTTAAAGACCCTTTCAATGCAGTGTATACATTGCAGGATACTTTGCTCATGGTGATCCCTGACCTGCATTCCAGCCAGGAACAATTTTCCCAGGAGATAGACACTCTGAAGGGCATTGGATAAGATGATCTAAGAAGTCTTTTTTAGGTGACCTATTGCCATGAATTACAGCTCTTCTTCTAGAAGAGGTTTTTTAAAGAAGGGGGTAATAACATGGGTGTTGTCCTAGTAAACGAAAGAAAAAAAAATAAGGGTCAATAAGAAGTTTTGCCGAGGACTCCCCCATCCTCACCACAATGGGCTCTTTGACGTTGCTCAGTATAAAAGAAACCCACAAGCTGGAAAGAAGGACAGTGAATTTTCTGCTCCATAAGTAAATAATAGTGCTACAAATATCACATGTGGGCTGCACAACCACAGATTGCTACATTTGCTATGACAGATGCTTAGAGCATTAGTCACATATATCAAAACGCTTTACAAAATCCAGCTAACAAGAGCAACCAACACATCAAACAAAGCCAGCAGAGGGGCTTTCTGCAGAAATGCCTGTTATTTGCATGAAAATGCATTGGCTTAGGCAAGGGTTTGACCCAAGGCTGCCAGCGCATGGGAATGAGGGTTTAAGGTGGCCACAGGACCTCAGGATTTCTGCTGAGCCTCTGGGCTGGGTCTGGCCAACCTGCTCCATGGGCTCGTGCAGGTGTTTGTGCACACACGTGCAGCAGCTCCCACACCAGTGACACGGCCTGGCTGTCCACGGAGTCTTAACAAAGCTGGGAATCATTCTGCTGCGTTGCAAGAGCATGATGAGCACGGTGAGCATCCTCTGTCCTACATGAGCTTGTGCTGGGGAAAGGCTTGATTTCTCCTGGGAAATGTCGCATGGGAATGCCATCTAGACTAAGGAATGTGCCTGGCACAAGGGACAGTCTATAGAATCACGTACCCAGTGCCAGGCATTTACACCAGTTACACAATGCTGCTGAAATGAAATATTGCCACATATCAGCTCCTCCAAACAGGACCCAGACAAGCTGCTTCACCCTGCCACAACACTACTGCCAAACAGGGAGATGTGGGTCAACATCCACAGCTTCCTTAAGCTAAAACTTCCTAGCAAGTGGCTCTAACTGTCCAGAAGAAAAACCCAGTGAGTGCTCTGCCTCTTGCAGGGGAACGGAGGAGCTCTGTTTGGTTATCCTCAGCCATCGGGAAAGCTCCTGGCAAGACAGACTTCAAAGGGGGAACACCAAAGGATTGCAGAAGGTTTAACACCAAGGGCTGCACATCGCACTACGTGAGGCTGCAGAACAGGAGACGGATGTTCCTCTCAGCACGTGCTCATACATTAATCAACAATAAGTAATTTTCCGAGCACATCGATAACTTCTGTAGAAAGTGCCCAGCTGGATGCCCGGTGCTCCAGGGCCCTTCTGAGGGCATGAGCTCCTAGACCCAAGAAGGTGCAGAAACACAGCGGCCCAGCAAACCTGCGAACGGTCCTTGCAGCCCCAGCGGGCTGCCTGGGTGCGCCAAGTGAAGGGCACACGTACGGCCTTTCCTATATGAGGGGCTGCAAACATAAAAGCAATAAACCCCTCCATTATCACTGGATAAATGGAGTACGTTTCTGGAAAGCTCCCAGGCCTCTCAAATTTCTCTATTTATTAATGGCTGCGGAAATGGAAAAAAAGGGTTCTCACTTACAATGAAAGAAGAATAGAAAAATTAGACATCTTTAAATCTCAAGCACATTTTTTCATGGGTTCACAGATTCACAGATTACAAAACCAAAAAGGACCATTGTGACAGTGTGCTGGCTCCATACATAGCACAGACCCGAAGGCAACTTGGAATTCTTGATTTCTTCTTTAAACTCTTGCAGCCTTCTTTCTCAACTGTGCAATTGTGGCTTCTGTGGGCCTCTAGAAAAATATTTCTAAATAGCTCTCATTTAGTCTACAAAGTTTCTGTTCACATTTTTATTCTCTTTGTTTCTTAGCAACAAACCCAATTCCCATTCTCTGCTTTCTCCTCTAATATTTCTACCCCCACTAAACATTTTGTGAAACCGCTGTTTAAATTAGGAGTTACGATTTTTTGGTTTAAAACCTCAGCTTGCAATTAAGCTGATTCATAAAAACACAAAAATGAAAAGAGGCTGCAGGGCATGTGTGCAGAACATGGCATTTTCTCCCCGTTCTGTCTCTTTCTAAACGGGCTGTTCGGAACCTCCGTGTGCGCGGCTCGGCACGCACAGGAGCGGCGGCAGGAGCAGGTGTCCAAGCAAACACCGCGGGCCGGCCCGAGCTGCTCGGATGCACAGAAAGGCTCTTTGGAAGGAAAACCAGCCCAAAGGCTCCACGATGCTGCTTGTGCCAGCCCACGAGGGGCGGGGGCTCCGGCAGAGCCGGGCTCGGGAGCCAACGGGAGGCTCCAGCCCCTGCACGTGGGGAGCGGGAGCAGCCCCGGGGCTGAGCACGGTGCCAGGCTAACGGCCGTGCGGGGACACGCGCGCCCGCGCTGGGCGCTTGGACCCTGGCAGCCTGCAGCACCTTCCTTCAGCCAGCGTGAAATATTCCTGCTCCTCTGCCAAGGCATAAGGGAAGACTTGCTGCGCTGGAAAACACATTGAGGGCTTTTAAAGCTCTTGTTGCTGTGTTTCTAATTCCCTGCATCAAGCACTGAGTATGGCCTTCACCCTGATGGAGAAAACAGTGAAAAAAATGCAACGTGCCCTGTGCTCATTTCTGACCCCGCTGTGCCACCAACCTTCTTTGCATTGGAGCTGGTTTGGTAACAAAAGCCTGCAGAAAAGCTCCAAAAGCTCCTGCTTTGCAAGCAACTGGACCATGTGCTCTCTACGTGCTCTCTCACCTCCGACCAGTTCCCAGCGGTCCACTGGGAGGGACAGGGCACATCCCTGTGACAGGGAGCGGTGGCCTCGGGCTTGGGGAGGTGCTGGCAGTCTGCCGGCTGCAGAGCCCTCTGCTCGTCCATGCCCACGCTCTGGATGCAGAGCACCGTCCTCCTCCCGG